GGGGGAGGAGAAATACTCCTAGTCGCTTCATGCTACAGAAACCGGGATAAGCTCCGGCCTGATGGGCCACTTGGCTCGTACGCAGACTTTACCTTTTTACCTGTATGATTACAGACCGAATTGGACTCCACTCGGTCCTATTACCACTATTAATCAGCTTACTTGAGGTGGTTTTCAATAAAAAAAGTACAGAGAATTTTCAGATTAATCCGGTTCTGGACTGGGAATTGAGGGGCAAACAACAAGTACACCACTGAGCTCTGCCCTTTCACATTTGAGAATGAAGGATTTCTCATTTCAGGACTTATCCACGGTTCGTAAAGACCATGGTCTCTTGACCAAACTTGACAATTTAATAGCTCATAATTATTTGAGGCATAATAATTAAAACAATCACTTACCAATCGTTGGCTCATGACGTGGTTTCTTAGGCTTATTTTTCTTCTGTGGTAAAGCATAACGCACACTTGGGTCAAGGGGCCCTCCTCTAGGCCCGTTGTTTGTTGGTGGTCCTGCAGGTAACACCCTCGGCCCCATAGCAGGTGCCTGCCGGTCCACTGGTGTATAACGCGGCTCCTCGGTGGATTGTACATGTCTGTTAGACAAAAAAAAAAGTTAGCATACAGTGTTTTTATTGTAGTGCAATGCATTGAACTGAGTGGACAAGTAACACAGCAAACCATTGTTTACAATGTACAAGCAACCCGCAACTTGCTCCCGTCCGATTTCGTGGCTCAATCCGGCGATTAAATTCGAGGGTAATGAGTACGAGTCCCACCTACCCAGTCAAGTCTCCCGTTTTGCGCTGGCATCCAGTTCTCTCGCGATTTTACCCACGTGTTCAACGATGGAATAAAAACAAGAGCAAATACAGGGCTGTGAAAAGTCTAGGCTGGGTGGCTACAGAACTATTGCTGAACAACCCAGCCGTCTCTAAACTTAGCCCATGTTCAAGTAACTGGGCAGAGCATGGAGCATGAGAAGGAAGCCACGACTTCTTTTCATGAAGTTCATTACTAACACACTACAGAAAAAAATAATCAAAATCAAAATCCACTGTTGTTTTATTCCATTTGAAACAATTGCTCAGCCCAATGTACATAACCTTGGTTGAGTGACCACTTCCTAGATCCTGTAGTTTCATGCATACCAACCTGACTCTTGGGGGAGGGGGTGCTGTTCTTTGGGGAGTAAACCGCTGCTCGCCATCGCTAGAATCTGTGGGCTCATCAGCTGGACGAGCCTGCCTGGGTCTGCGGCCTGAATGTCTTCCCTGCCCTGGTCCCGTGAGGTCTCCAGTTGATTTCCTGGTTTTTGGTTTTCTTGCAGACTGACGCATAGCTTCCTCAAAAGAAGGTGGTTCGTGGTACGGGGGGAGGGTGTTGAAATCTCTCTGTGGCCCCCTAGCGGGGTATGCTGAGTTCATATCCAGCTCTCCAGTGCTCTGTGCCAGACGGCCGTTTCTCGCCAAACGGGAGCCTGGGTTGAACAGCATTTCAGGTTGTCGAACAGAATCTGAAGGGAGAAAATGTGTTATTGCTTCAGGGGTTTTAGTTGTTCAATCTCAATGTGCATCTTTGCCTTCGCTGTGGTGGAAGCAAAATAATGTAGATGAACATGTAGAATGCTTCCGGGAGGGATGGATTGAAGAAGAACTCTCTATAAATTATAACTATACTATATTACGCTCTTAAAGACTTCCAAATCGCGTTTCGCTATACAGCTGTAGCTCAGGAAATGCGCATTTTTTCAGGGGTCGGGAGAGCAGGTGAATCTGATGTCATGTCTAAGCAATTTTTGTATTCTTCACAAGCAACTGCTGACTTTAACTGTGTTTGTGGATCAGCCACAGAAGAGAACTGGAGCGGGTGAAATTTGGTAAGTGAATAAGTGTTACCTTGTGAGAGGTATCCGTAGTTTACACTAGGATCCTGCTGTTTCTTCTTTTTCGCATCATTTGAGGTCACGGACTGCATGGATGCTGCTACAATGAACGGATCGTCTTCAACTGATTCCATACCATAACTACGTCTCGACTCCACGGCACGAGGCACATCTGGTCCACCCGCAGCATAGCTGTACACCAAAACACAACAACAAAACAAACATTTGTGAAAACCATAAGAATTACAAGTTGCTGTTTTTTAGCCATTGTGTTGAGAAGTTGGCTTCGTTGTAGGGTGACGAAATTCAACGACGTACTGTACTTAAACTGACACAACTCTCACTTGAACTCGTGTGAAAGAATGAGTTCCCCCTGCAGTCCAACTAAATAGTAAGAGCTGCCCACTTTACCAGACTAAACCAGTCTGACAAGCTAATGTAAAAACACATTTTCCGATCAAACAGGGCAAACTGAATGACTTGATTTTCCAATCCTTTCCCTAATCCCCTACAGAGATGAAAATCTGCTGAAGAAGAGTACTGTAGGGCAACGAAGCGGTTTGTCAAAATAGAACGGCAAATCTTGGACTGACTGGTCCGATCGGCCAAAGTGGATCTCCTTCAAACGTGATCCTTTTTCCCAGAAAATTTTCCGGATTTTTGGCAAAATGGAAAACATCCAATATATACAGCACTTTCTACAGTAGGTAGTACTTACGTAGACGTCTGAGACATGTTGACATTGTCAGCTGCAAAAGAAGGAAGGACAAAATACTAGGTTATTCAATACAGATCCCGATGAGAATGCAAATCAATTGCTGTTTGTGATCTTCGGTAATCTTGTCCATCCTTGTTATTATTCGGTTTGTTATTACTGCTTTTGGTGTCTCTCTATACAGTCAAACCACCTCTCCTCAGCGACCAATTTTCCAAAACACCAAAAGTTTCAAAGTCAATTCGCTACATTTTGAACCTCTTGTGCGCGACCCACCTCCCCTCAGCGACCAGTTTTCCAAATGACCAAAAGTTTCCAAGTGAAGTCAATTCGCTACATTTTGAACCTCTCGTAAGCGACCACCTCTCCTCAGAGACCAGTTTTCCAACACACCAAAAGTTTCCATGTCAATTCGCTACATTTTGAACCTCTTGTAAGCGACTGCGACCACTTTTAAAGCTAACAGTTTGAAATTTTATTTTGTCTTCAACTTCACGCATTCCTCGGTAGAACACTATCTCGACGGAAAGTTCTAAACGGCAAATGCCGGGTATTTTCTCCAAGTTTACCTTTCACATTAATAAAACATTGAAAACATTAGGTATGTCTCTGCACTTACCACATGCTAATGGACAACATTTTGACCCAATATGGTCTAAGCTCTCGTAAGCGACCAACTAGGCTCGACCACATTTTGGGTGGTCGCTTGTGGTATGTTCCACTGTATATATCTTACGTGAACTGAAGTCTTCGATATTTAGAGGACAGGAAGGAGGGTAAGAGAGCTAATCCACCATATGGGCCTTACTTCAGAGGTAATCTTCCTCAAGTTATTTTAAGATCACTCCCGGATTCGGAAATCATACAAAGATCTAGGAATAACCAATCCTCTGACGCAAATTCGACTCACGGGACAGCTCAAGCGGCTTTACACGCATCTTCATTCTCCATAAAAACATCTACACAATCCGTGGCTTCATGAACCACAATGTTCTTTTTGGCAACTAACCAATAGCGTTTACATGCTAAAACAAAGCTATACTCATTTTGGTAGAAACCAACTTGTCACTACACGTATAATTATCGTTTTTAAACCTTGTATTGAAATGGCAAGTAAGGATGAAGATTTGGCAGCTTTAAGACTGACAGTATTGCTAGGATTTTCTTACCTCCTCGAGCCTTCTTACGACGCTTAAAGCAACAAAGCGCCAGAACAACAATTGCAAGGAGGAGTATACCGGCAACTCCAGCAATAACAGCAATCATCCAGTCTTGAATGGGTTCACCGCCGCCCCTCTCTCTTGGAATAGCACCACCTTGCACTGAAACAGTAATACAACTTCACCATCAGCAAATGCATGTAAACTTAGCGTAGAGTTAGGGTAATAAAATGGTAACGAGTGAAATTAGGAAATAATTTCACGCGCGTTTTGGCAGAATTGTAATAATTTCCGCGCCTCTACATGTAAGGTGAGGGAAATTATTAGAATTTTGACAAAACGCGAGTTAAAATTTTTGTCAATTTCACGAGTATACCATTCGACAGCCTTTTAATATCACGGGTGGCAAATTACCATTACAGTCTTGGGCTTTTTACTTGTTTATTGTATTGAGAAATTTCGCACCAACCGTTGTCATGGCAATTTGTAATTTCACAAGTGAAACTACAAATTAACACTGAAATTTTGGGCCATTATTAAGGAGTAATTTTCCATCCATCTAAGGGGGCCGCTNGCCAGCTTGATTAGAAGACTGGACAGTGAATTCATAATCTGTTTCAGGCAGCAGTCCTTGAATGGTGTGCATGTTATTGTCAGGGTGCCCCACAGACTGTTCCACAAAATTGGCGCCACTTCCCATCACACGATAATGTATTGTAAACCCTTGATTATATCCACCACTGTAACCAGGAGTCCAGCTGACATTGACACTCACGGTTTTAGCGTTCGCAACTTCAAACGCTGCCAGTTGCACATCGATGGGTGCATCTGGAACCCCTGTGAACCAAATGATTCAGCATTTAAAACCTTTCAGTTTCCTTCTATAAAAATGTTAGTACTAAAAATTATCTCAGAGGTAGAAATCAACTCTTTTCATAAATGGCTACCAAATATATAAATTTTTTGTAAGTATTATAGACTGTGAGTAGTCTCTCTTTTTCCTAGTCCATCGAGCATGACCATAAATAAACCTCGCTTCCAGGATTTTGCAGGCCATTTTTTTTTCCTTGCGGTTTTCTTTTGCGTCATCCATGACAGACTAAGCGAAAGAGGGACTACTTGTAGTCGATAAGAATCAAAATTAGCCTGACTAACCTCGTTCGTGATTTGAAAAATAATTAAACCAAAACAATTTTACTCTCAAGAGTTGAAAAGACATTTGTATGAGAAGTCATTATGGAAAGAGTCTATGACCTAATGAAAAGTCTGTCTGTCAAGATGTGGCTACAATGAAATGGAAAGATGATTGTCTTGCTACGTTTTATTAAGGCACACGCACAGTCCTGGTAGGATTTTATAATACTGTACAGATACGAATCTTATTCTAAATTCTGAGATCTTCAGCCCACTTTTCACTCGTTTTGGGTGGGAGGGGCTCCATGCTGTTATTCAAAAGAGCATCATGCAATTTGTATTGACAAAGCATGAAGAACTAAGAAAACAAAATGGCTCTGCATGAGGAAAAAATTGTAAAGCAGAGCGAGAAAGTTTCCTTTCAAATGCCACTGGCAAATGATTACTCAACTGATTGGTTACATACAATTACAGAGCACCAGTGGTCAAAGAGTGCATTCCTTTAGGAAGATCTGATCAGGATTTGTGATCTAAGATCGGATCAAAAGAACTGATGAATTCTTGTCTTCAATTGGCTGGATTCATTAGCTTCCTTGATGTATATATTTTTTATTTTGGCTCTGTTAATGCAGCGATATGAGTGATTTGAATAATGATCCAATGGCATATTCCAAAGGAACTCACCCAAAAAGACTGACTAGTGAAATCGCAATGACAGTCATTGCTTAACACATAATTATAAAGCAGCGATATTAATTCAACATACCTCTTTCACGTATGGTATATTGCTGGTTGTCACTTCCTAGGAGGTTTACAGCAATACAGTAGAACTTCTCATCAATATCAGTAACAGTGACTTTCATAATACTGGTATCCCTCTCTGCAGTGATGCTCTTAACCTTATCATCAGTTAATGAGCTTAGATCATTAATTGCATTAAGGTCTCTTTTCCACGACAGAGAAGGTGACGGCTTGCCATTGACAATGCAAGTCAAATCAACTTGCTCTCCTGCAGCCCCTGGTATTTGTGTGGTTGTCGGTGTATCAGTCACAATAGTAGGCCGAGCTGAAACAAAGTACAAACATACAGTTTATTTCTAACAATATCTTAAAAATCTAAGAAGGACCCCCCTTAAGGTGTAAACTTGTACTGCATACTTACTTTGTACATTTAGAATGACGTCTACAGAATCCTGTTGCCCAATGTCATTTCTTGCGATGCAACGGTATGTACCATCATCGCTGCCTTTGGTATTAACTATTAGAAACTGTTCTCCATATGCAAGCTCCTTACTGCTGCCTGACCTGGTCCAGATGATTCTAGGTTGTGGCACACCCTTTGCACGACATACTAATGTCGCATTACTTGTTTCATTAACTGTGTAACTGCTTTCATAGAATGTAATTTCTGGTGGATCTATTAACAAGACACGAGAGACAAACACATGTAAGTCAGACCCAGGCAACACCGACATTAACACAGTTATCAGGCTCTTACAAAAATGCCAGTCAAAATGTCATGATTGCAAAATCAGCAGCCTCAGTGACCTTGAATATATAACTGACAGTACAGTTAACTGCAGTCCAACTTTCCACCAAGAGTGAAAAACTCCGACCAAAATTTAATTGGAAATATTGAATAAATGATCTCATATTTTGGTAACTACATGTATGTAAATTAAAATACATGGCAGGAAAACTGGAAAGGTCTAAGAAAAATTACGAGGAGCCCAAAGATTCCTAACCATGGAATCCTGGGTACCCAGTGCTCACTTAAGATTATACGAAAAGAGTAAGTTTTTCTACTCCCCCAAAGGCAAAAGTTAGTCGCCTTTGGCACCCGAGCACCTCTAGAGCACAGACCTGTGACCCCTCTTGACCAAGATGCAAACTGTACATGCAGAGTATTGTGCATAAATTAATCCTACATGTAAAACATCTTAAGAAAGATGATTGTTTTACATGTAAATAAGCTTACATTCGTTGATTCATTGAACATAAACCGGCATAAGCCACCAAACTTACAATTTAAGTAATGATCAACAAGAACTCTGGTATTGTGTTACGAAGATCAAGTTAGTAGCTTGCTATACAGACCTACTTTTGATGGAAAGAGTTAAATTATGCAAATTTACAGCATGTAGTCTAGATGTTCTCACACATTAGCTGCATCCCCAATTTGGTAGGAAAATTTTGAGTAAAAAGGTGCTGCTTATCTGCCAGTGTATACGGTATTCTTTTTTCAAAGTTTTATATTGGTACACAAGTAGTCACCATTCAACTGCTCACTGGGGAATGGCATATGATCACTTACACTTTATCAATAACTGCGCTCTAGCAGGAGGTCCTTCTCCTAAACTGTTAGTTCCAGTACAGGAATACCATCCTGCATCCGATAGAGTCACTGATGTCTTTACAAAGGTTGTGGTTAAGCATCCACTACAACTCTCCCCTGGAATGTCCCTTCCATTAAACTGCCACTTATGTGTTTGAGTGGGTGGATTTCCAATTGTTTTACAAGTGAACCTTGCAGTCTTCCCTTCGTCCAGGGTGAGGTTTTTAGGTTGATCAGCAGAGGACTGAGCAACTGGTCGATCTGAAGGCAAAAATATGCAACCAACATTTTCAACACATTGATTTGGAGCAGAAAGGAGAATGGTAAATTCTGAGAAAAAGGAACAAAACCAACATCCAAATAAACTATACCTTTTTTTTCCCACTACTCACAGCTAACAATACACTGTACTTGCACAATATTAATTTTATAGTTGACCCAAAATGTCATACACTGTACAAGCCCATCCACAATTATCTGTTAAGTTTGCAAACTGTCCAAATTAATTGAACAAGTAATTTGACAGGTATGAACACAATGCAATTAACAGGTCAGCCTGAAATTAATATGACTACAGTCTGGTAGGATTGGAAAATAACTGAATTCAAAAGGTCCTTCTGAGTGCCAAATTAGACTTTGTCTTAGCTTGCAGTCTTGCCTTGCCCATCTTCAGAATATTTTGCATTCAATCATTGTTAAATTGTGCATTTTCCTGGGGGTGGGGGAGGGCCTGTAAGACCAAACATTTCAAAGAATAGTATGAAGCTTAATTGGAATTTCCAGAGGGTTGGGGTTGGGAAGGGGGGTGGTTCAGAAAAAAATCCCTTCCGTGGGGGAGATATGGATGTTTTCTGGAACTACACATTGACAGGATGAAGTCCTACACAAAAATATACATGTAGACACTGCATTACATTATAAAATTGGTCTATACTTACAGCGGACTTCAAGCTCTGTAGATAGACTCTTTTCTCCAGCATCATTATAAGCAAGGCATGAAAAATTTCCATCTTCCCTCCAGGTTACTCTATTGATGGTAAGGTATGACAGGGTCTTCAAGAGTTTAGACTGTGAAATTGGTGCGACAGAAACTGAGAAGTTGTAATGAGATGTTTCGGTGAGATTCTCTCCATCCAATTGCCACAAAATAGTTGCTGCTGGTTTGGCTTCAGTTATGCACGAGTAACTCACAGTTTCATTTTCCGTCTTTGTTTGTTTAGCTGGTAGTTGACTGGAAAATACTGGAGCAACTGTAACGAACAAGCCAAAAAACAACTTTCAGTAACTATAATAAATAGTACTAAATAAATGCACTTGCAAAGTCATTTGACTGATTGGGTAAGAGCACTGCAGTTCAAGTGTAACGCTAGTGCAACACAATAGCAATTAAGTTGTCTGATGGATTTAAAAGGTGGTCAAAGTTCTCATGAGGTCTTCTGAAGATAGCCAAAGACTTAAGGGAGATGTTCTGAACAATTCCGATTAATTAACATTCCCAAAACTCACACAGATTTTCCAACATTATCAGAAAATTTCACAATATTTTCTTAAATTTCCGACGATGGGTTCTGCACACAGCCTAGTACATTGTAAGTGAAAAATTTATGTTTAGCCAATGTATGCCAATATGGCTATTTTTCAAGTGTAGATCACACAATTATTCTGATGCAATTTGGAATAACTAAACACTAGTAAATTTTTCAAACACTACAAATTGGAATCACCCTTCAGGCTCATGCAATTTTGTAAGGGTTTGTAAAAAAAATAATTGTGCTTATTCACTCCAAACAATTGAAGAAGAACAAAATTATTATAGCATGTGTGTAACAAATGTTTCAGGCTGACATGCAGCCCTTGTAAATCACCAGTACGTAATACTAAATACACATAGATGTAGTCCCCCCTCCCCTCACGTCCTCTGAAGTCAACACAACACCACTTCATTTCCATGACGTAATGAAACAAATTAATATTTGATTTGAAANTTCTGTAATTTGAATTTCCTCAAACATTTTCCCAAGAAACATAACTTCACTTGCCCGAACAACAAGTGAAAGACAGAATCCAATATCCTGATGCCAAATCCCACTACCTGGGCTATCAGAGATGACTTCCCTTACACACTGCAGCAAAAATTAAAGATGGTTGCATCCCTATAATGTAAAACATCACTTACAATTGACTAAGAGGGAAGCAGATTTTCTCTCTCCAGTTCCTAACTCATTTCGTCCATCACAAGAGTATCGCCCAGCACTACTCTTTTTAACTTGCACGATTGTCAGTCTCTGTCCATCAGAAATTGGTGTGATGGTATAATCTCCAGAACTGGAAATCTGGATGCCATCCTTAAACCATCTGTACTCCAAGACACCAGGGAATGCGTCTGTGCGGCAATAAAATTCTGCATTCCTACCTTCCACAACAGTTTGGTTACTTGACAAACTGTTTGCTTTGTGTTCGGGCTTGACTGCAACAAACAAGATAAACAAGTCAAAGTGCATGTTGGTTGAATATTCCTTTTTTGCCTTGGCTAAGCACTTAGTAGACTACGGGGTCAGATTACCAATTGAAAGTAAGAGTTCTACAGTTAGGATGATTACTCAACAGGCCAAATACATTTTTACATTGACGAACCTTGGTTCTGGCCTGACAAAAATCCTAATGGAAAAATTACACGACTGTACTTTTAAATTTACATGTAAGTTACCCGCTAACAAGAAATTTCCCTCCTAATGCCAGTTTGAGTATTGTACCTGACTCAAGATAGCTATATCAAAGTTGTCACCTAATCATCTGCCATTAAACCAAATTCTAAAAACAATTTGTACCTTGTCAATCAAACAAGTACCATAATACACATATATAACATAAACCAGTCGATAGGACAATCCAAGAACAAAATAATGTAAGAGGTTATATAAAATTATAAAATAATACAACCAATCCAAGATGTACATCTATATGTGTATGTATACACAACTTACAAAAATTATACCTTTGAACTCTACTATCTTGAACTCTTAGGAAAAGACAAACCACATGCAGTTTGAGATGTGGGGAGTTTGAGATTGCCAAAGTAAGTGACGGAAAATGTATATCCACAGGAAAATAGTGCGGAGTTCAAGATACAGGTAACTGAGTTCCAGTTAGTGACGTTNAGTAGTGAAGCTAACTCTAAATATATAGTTTCCACTGTCCTTTTCCTGGATATTTAATAACCTGAGTGTATTTCCTGACACTTGAACTCTTGACGTAAATGCTGGATCTATGTTAACTTCTCCAGAAGACAGTACAGTTGCAATCCTCTGGTTGATATCAAATGTCCATTCTCTCTCATTAACAACTTTTCCATCTAGATTGTACGACCATGACAAAGGCACAGATTCCCCTTTCAATTGATACACTGGATTGCCATTGTTAGGTGAACTGGTAAAACTTGGTGCACAGTCTACACATACAAGAACAAAGTAAAAAATGTTAACAAAGATTTTCTATTGTACAAGAACATGATCATCATATACAGTACATGCACTCATGAATTAAGGGGATAATAATTAAAGTAGTCAATCATCATAACCAAAAGATCTTCCTTGAAACATTCCTCCTAACCTCGCTTACCACCTAAGACCTAGTGTTTCCGCCAGACTGCGTCATTGCGGGAATCTTGCATTGCAGCCAGAGATGGCCCCCAGAAAAACCAAAAAAGGGGCAATTTAGCCATTTCTTTTACAC